GCTGGCTTCAGCACAGCAGTGGAAGGGGTCCATGTGAACTATTCTACCTCAATACTTTGCAGGGTATTTTTTTGAAGAAGCAAATTTATAGATCCAATTTAAAAGTTAAACAACTTTGGTGGGTGATTTGGATTAATAAGATTGTTCTAACTACGGAAAAGTAGTTTTGATTGGGTTAATGTGCATTTTTTGAACAGTGCTAAAGATAGTTGACTTTTTATTTTGAAGATGAGAAGAATGACCTGCTGCCTACACAGTATAATTCTAGATCTGAGTGCTTGGTGTGTCCTCTGCTGGAGCACAGCTACTTGGTCATCTTCGTTTTCTCTCTGAAAGTTTAATGCTTAGATAGAGAAGGGGACATTGTGAAAGAAAACAACCACTTGTAAAATTTGTGGTACTTAGCTTTGAGAAGATATAGTGCCTTCTGTGCAGACCTGAGATATGCAGGAGTTAGAGGGTTGTGCTTTTGTCTCATGTCACCTGTATTGCAGTCATGGACAGGTTAGAGAGGAAGGCTAAGAAAGGCAAGTTAAAAGTTGACCCCATGGGGCCGGGGCGATAGCACAGTAGAATAAGTGCTTGCCTGGCAAGCACAAGGACCTGAGTTCAATCCTTGGTTCTGCCACAAAAAAAAAAAAAAAAAAGTTTAGCCCCCCTCGCAAGTGTGCTGAACTTCGAAGCTCTGCTGTGTGTTTCTTCTGGTGGTCCGCGACTGAGACCCTGCTGTCTGGTGCCAGAGGAGGAGCGCTTGTTAGAGGTGGATGTTCTGAACCTTCCTCTCTGGACGCTTATATCCTGTGTCTGGCATGGGGTCTGCAGTCTTCTAATGAAAAGATGGGAAGGTTATGTAAAAGTAGAGATGCAGATATCATGACTAGTATGTCAGTGTTTGTTTCATTTATTCCCTTTTTCTTTGCTCTGTGTGTGTGTGTTTGCGAGCGAGCATGTACATGTGTGTGTATTTGTGCATGCCTGTGCATTTGCATGCGCATGTGTGTGACTTTTTTGAACTGGGAATTGAACCCAGACCCTCCCATCTCTCAGTTTTGTTATTTGGAGAAGGCGTCTCACCAAGTGTCCCTAAGCTGCCTGGGCCGGGCTGAACGTGGAGTCGTCCTGCCATGCTTCCCAGAGTGCTGGGATCACACCTGTGTCCACACACAGCTTGCTGAGATATCGTAGGGAAGCCCCAGATGCCATTTATGTCACTGCTTTGAACATTTTGGTCACTAAAGCACATCCTATTTAAAAGTGGCAGCTCTTCTTTGATTTCATCTGCTGCCCAGCCCTTAAGTGTGTTTCGCTGTCTCTAAATGCTGTTGTGCAGCTGGTTGTTAGAATTAAGAGGAAACGTAAGAGTTCGATCGGTAGCGGGAGCGGAGAGCGGACCCCAGAGAGCCCTGAGCAGCCCCACCGCCGCCGCCAGCCTAGTTACCATCACACACCGGGAGGAGCCGCAGCTGGCAGCCGGCCCCAGTCACCATCACCGCAACCATGAGCAGTGAGGCCGAGACCCAGCAGCCGCCCGCCGCCCCCCCCCCGCCCCCGCCCTCAGCGCTGCTGACACCAAGCCCAGCACCACGGACAGCAGCGCAGGGAGTGGCGGCCCTGGCGGCCTCACATCGGCGGCGCCTGCCAGCGGGGACAAGAAGGTCATCGCAACGAAGGTTTTGGGAACAGTAAAATGGTTTAATGTAAGAAACGGATATGGCTTCATCAACAGGAATGACATCAAGGAAGATGTATTTGTACACCAGACTGCCATAAAGAAGAATAACCCCAGGAAGTACCTTCGCAGTGTAGGAGATGGAGAGACTGTGGAGTTTGATGTTGTTGAAGGAGAAAGGGTGCGGAGGCAGCAAATGTAACAGGCCCTGGTGGAGTTCCAGTTCAAGGCAGTAAATACGCAGCAGACCATAACCATTATAGACGCTATCCACGTCGTAGGGGTCCTCCACGCAATTACCAGCAGAATTACCAGAATAGTGAGAGTGGGGAAAAGAATGAGGGATCGGAGAGTGCTCCCGAAGGCCAGGCCCAACAACGCCGGCCCTA